TAATGTCTTGTTTTTTTGTGCCTGTATTCGGAATTTTGTTTTTCTGTCGGGAATGGTATGGCGCATTGTCCATAATAATCACTGAATTTGGGGAAATGTTTGGTATTAACTGCTGCTCTATCCACTTTTCAAATAAGTCGGAGGTCATGTCCTCATGATAGTCGGCACATGATTCTTTGATATTTTTGGCAGATAACAGCAAGGCATTAGGTATAAATCCATTTTCACTGCCAGCATGGAGAATAATAATTCGAACCCAGCCGTACTGCACAACATCATGGGTATCATACCACGTTTCATCCAGGTAAATCAGATTTCTTTTCTGCTCTCTATAGATTTTAACTTTGTGTAAAAATTCTTGGCGCAATTCAACGATTCGAGACGACTCCATAATCACCATTCTTTTATCTAATTTTTTGTATTGAAAACCACACAGTTTTACAATACAGTGCAGTGAGTCTAAGCATTTGTAATTATAAAAATCTCCAGGATAATCTTTTAATTTATCCCGTATCATTTCCAACGTGGGCACCAAATTTTCTTTATAAAATCCGTATATTATACGACGAATATCTTCCTGAAAACCCACCTCTATTCTTTTTAATTTTTGCCCTATGCGCTTTCTGTGGAAGGAATGGTTGACTACATCTCCCCTTTTTATAACCCGATAAATGGTAGACCGATTGTTTTTTGTCAGGATACAAATTCTGTTTAAAATTTGATTTTGCGAGGAATCTGGATTTTCGTTTTCAGACAATCATATTTAGGATTACTCTTTGGGTCTGTTCCTCTAAATCTTATGAAAGAATTCTGCCTGCACAGGTTCATCAACCATCTCCTCGTGGCTTGGAGCATTTTCCCAAGGTCTCCAAAGAGCCATATTTAGGACACACAAGAACAATCAACACAACAATTAAATCAACAAGTAAACTGAGTATTCAAAAGTCAAAAACACACAAACTAATAAAATCTATGAAAAAACACGGACAGACTAAAGAAAATACGTTTATTCACCGCTACACGGCACTGGCTAAAACGGTTTCAATTTTCAGTAGCCACCTGCACTTGTTCGGAGCTCTGAAATACACGCTTTCTCATTGGCTATGTCCACGCATAGGCGTGCTTTACTCCACGTGGACCGGTGAAACTGCCTTTGATCGTATACTATCTTATATCTTATTTGCTGCGAAATTTGGCGATTTTTGCAGCAACAGAGCGTATTAAATATAGTAATATAAAACGCACCCGGTATTTCACAGTGTTTCAAGTGACTTCAGATAAAGTATACACACATCGAGTCTCCGTACCGTGAGTGGAACACTGCGCAGACTGATTTTCACCACATCTGCTACTCTTTCCAGTACGCATGAAGTGGGTTACACGGGACCACTGTTTTCATTCCCTTCCTGGAAATACTCTAATAAATTTAGCACGCTTTCGGCCTTCTCCATTGATCGTATTTCCGGGCATTGTACAATTTTATATTGAAGACTGATAACAGGACAACTCGAATTGCACGCCGATGTCAAGTAAGTTGTCACTCTGACAAATATGGTTGAAGGACACTCATACGTAACGACAAAGTTTTCGAGATGGGACACCACTAAAAAACTTATGTCGTTGAGCTTACCGACCAACGTTCACACACAGGGTTAGGTTGCATGTGTGTGTATGAGGTAGATGGAGATATATAAAGGGATACTGTAGTCTTACTTTGACCCGCGCAGAACAGTGACTACAACTATACCAGCTTTGATGTAAATGTATACAGACATGAAATCAACGTTGTATACAGTTGGTTATGGTTACAGAGGACGGAAAGCATACACATCATATGCAATCGCCGATCTTTTGTGCACGAGGGCCATTTTTAAGTGGAACGGATTGCGCATCGTGACCGCGCATCTTGTCGCGTGACGTGACTTCCGTTCAACCTTAGACAAAATTATTTGTTTGGAAAGATGCAAATTATAAACATTATACTGCCCATGACGTATATCTACGAGCCCCTTCCCACTTCAGTTGGCCCAACTGTGTAAATCTTAGTTTTGTTCTTATCAAACACTAATAATAAAAATGTAGCAGGTTTAAAATATTAACAATGAATGTTTTGATATTATATAGTAGAAAACACCAACTTTATCACTCCCTAATCAAATTTGCAGCACAAAAATAACACGTGTTGCAATTACAGCATATCAACCTATTTTCATTTCAATGCAAAATAAGTCTATAACGCATAGGCAAATAAAAGCCATGACAATAGTTTTTATTAATCGCAGCTGTCAGGATACGTTTAAAATAGTTTTGGGTAGTTAAGGTAGAGGTAGAGGAAAGGTTATTAGTGAGAAAATTCGGTTACTAATA